GGGGCCTGGGATGGGGGTGAGGGAGGAGATGTGGGAGCAGGTGTAGCACCTCCTGCGGTTGCAGGGAAAAGTGCCGGGGGTGGTGGGGCTGGAGGGGAGTGTGGAGCGGACAAGGGAGTCCTGGAGAGAGAGTGATCCCTCCGGAAAGCAGATAAGGGTGGGGAGGGAAAAATGTCTTTGGTGGTGGGGTCTAACTGCAGATGGCGGAAGTGTCGGAGGATGATGCGTTGGATGCGGAGGTTGATGGGGTGGTACATGAGGATGAGGGGGATTCTGTTTTGGTTGTTATTGCGGGGAGAGGGTGTGAGGGATGAGTTGAGGGAAATGCGGGAGACACGGTTGAGGGCGTTCTCGACCACTGACGGGGGGAAGTTGCAGTCCTTGAAAAATGAGAACATCCTGGGAGCAGATGCGGCGGAGCCGAAGGAATTGGGAATAGGGGATGGCATTTTTGCAGGAAGGTGGGTGGGAGGAGGTGTATTCTAGGTAGCTGTGGGAGTCGGTGGGCTTGAAATGGATATCGGTTTCCATGTGGTTGCCAGAGATGGAAACAGAGAGGTCCAGGAAGGAGAGAGAGGTATTAGAGATGGTCCAGGTGAACTTAAGGTTGGGGTGGAAGGTGTTGGTGAAGTGGATGAACTGTTCAAGCTCCTCGTGGGAGCAGGAGGCGGCACCGATACAGTCATCAATGTAACGGAGGAAGAGGTGGGGTTTAGGGCCAGTGTACCTACGGAAGAGGGATTGTTCCACGTAACCTACAAAGAGGCAGGCATAGCTTGGGCCCATGCGGGTAACCATGGCCACCCCCTTTGTCTGTAGGAAGTGGGAGGAATTGAAGGAGAAGTTGTCGAGGGTGAGGACGAGTTCGGCTAAGCCGATGAGGGTGTCAGTGGAGGGGGACTGGTCGAGCCTGCAGGACAGGAAGAAGCGCTCTCTCTCCTTCCTGGACCTCTCTGTTTCCATCTCTGGCAACCACATGGAAACCGATATCCATTTCAAGCCCACCGACTCCCACAGCTACCTAGAATACACCTCCTCCCACCCACCTTCCTGCAAAAATGCCATCCCCTATTCCCATTTCCTTCGCCTCCACTGCATCTGCTCCCAGGATGAGGCATTCCACTCCCGAACATCTCAGATGTCCTCATTTTTCAAGGACTGCAACTGCCCCCCCTCAGTGGTCGAGAATGCCCTCGATCGTGTCTCCCGCATTTCCCGCAACTCATCCCTCACACTCTCTCCCTGCAATAACAACCAAAACAGAATGCCCCTCGTCCTCATGTACCACCCCACCAACCTCCGGATCCAACGCATCATCCTCCGACACTTCCGCCATCTGCAATCCGACCCCACCACCAAAGACATTTTTCCCTCCCCACCCTTATCTGCTTTCCGGAGGGACCACTCTCTCCGGGACTCCCTTGTCCGCTCCACACTCCCCTCCAGCCCCACCACACCCGGCACTTTTCCCTGCAACTGCAGGAAGTGCTACACCTGCCCCTACACCTCCCCCCTCACCCTCATCCCAGGCCCCAAGAAGACTTTCCACGTCAAGCAGATGTTCACCTGCACATCTGCTAATGTGGTATACTGTATCCGCTGTTCCCGTTGTGGCCTCCTCTGCATTGGGGAAACCAAGTGGAGGCTTGGGGATCGCTTTGTGGAACACCTACGCTCGGTTCGCACTAAACAAATGCACCTCCCAGTCGCGAACCATTTCAACTCCCCCTCCCATTCCTCAGACGACATGTCCATCCTGGGCCTCCTGCAGTCCCACAACGATGCCACCCGAAGGTTGCAGGAACAGCACCTCACATTCCGCTTGGGAACCCTGCAGCCCAATGGTATCAATGTGGACTTCACAAGCTTCAAAATCTCCCCTCCCCTTATCGCATCCCAAAACCAGCCCAGCTCGTCCCCGCCTCCCTAACCTGTCCTTCCTCCCACCTATCCCCTTCTCTCACCTCAAGCCCCACACCCATCTCCTAACTACCAGCCTCATCCCGCCCCCTTGACCTGTCTGTCCTCCCTGGACTGACCTAACTCCCCACCTACAGTCACCTTTACTGTCTCCACCCCCGCCTCTTTGACCTGTTTGTCTCCTCTCCACCTATCTTCTCCTTTATCCATCTTCTATCCGCCTCCCCCTCTCTCCCTATTTATTTCAGAATCCCCTTTACCTCCCCCATTTCTGAAGAAGGGTCTAGACCCGAAACGTCAGCTTTCCTGCTCCTCTGATGCTGCTTGGCCTGCTGTGTTCATCCAGCTCTACACCTTGTTATCTCAGATTCTCCAGCATCTGCAGTTCTGACTATCTCTGAAACAACTACCTTTATTTATTCTTTGCAGACCAACTGTTCGGTGCTTGTAAGTTTTGACAGATCTATTAGCTATTCACTGCCTTCAAAAACACAGATGAATTCTGAAATACTCATTATGTTTGAGATTCACGGTTTTAATTGATTTACAAGTTTCCAAAGAGTGAATAATTTTTCAAGTGTTTATCAAGTGATGTCTGTTTATTTTGCCAATGTACAAAATTCTAAAGATGCTTTTCATTTTTTTAAATGTCTATTCAATTGATGTGAACATATTTTGTCAGGTGTGTGATATTTGAAGACTTTGTGCCTTTTTCAAATATCTTGTCAAGTGACATTTGTTTATTTTGATGGAAGTTGAAAAGTTCATACAACATTTGTGAGTTTTGTTCATGAAATTGATACAGAGTGAGTAGATGGATATCAGGAAGTTGAGGGTGACAATGGCTATGGTGGGGATAGGGATTGAAGGGGATGAAGGAGTGTGAATGATCCGGGAGTTTGGGTACAGGGAGGGGGACTTTGCACTAACCTGTGGATTCAACTTTGTGTGGATAAGCCATAGAACCATTGAAGAACCAAGCTGATGTTGCTGGGAATGTTAACTTGGCAGCATATCACTGCTTTTTTTTTCAGCCCAATTCACTTAAAACAGACCAGACTAGCCTAAAACATTATGGAATTCCAAGAACAAATAATGTTTTCTTTTTTTTTGATCTAAGGTTATGAATAGGCACTTTATGAGCTTTTCTTTTGTTTAGAATTTAGAATCCATAGAGTGTGGAAACAGGCCATTTGGCCAACAAGTCCACACTGACTACCTGATGAGCAACCCACCCAGACTCATGCCTATTCACCTACCTTATCCATATAACCCTGCATTTCCCATGGCTAATGTACCTAACCTACACATCCCTGAACACTGTGGGTAATTTAACATGGCCAATCCACCTAATTCGCACATCACTGGATTGGGGAAGGAAACCGGAGCACCCAGAGGACACCCACACAGACAGTCGCCCAAGGGTGTGACTGAACCCGGATTCCTGGCGCTGTGAGGCAGCAGTGAGCCACTGTGCCACCCAAAGGCACTAAGAAACTTGTTTTTACATTTGACTAAGAAAATGATAAGACTAGCAAAAAAGTTCTCTATGGATTTTTTGAAACATTTCACTCTTACCATTTTAGCCATCCAACTGTTTATTTATGACAGATTTTGTTTGGTAATAAGTGTTTAGATTTGAGTTAAAAGAGGAAATTTTACGATCCCAGCTAATGATACTAGTGGACAACTCAGATTCTGGAATGAAATTTGCCTTGCTAGATTCTTTTTAAAGCTCAATATTGCAGTCTTTCACTGAAACACAGCACACAAGGCTGCAGACTTGGCTTTAATAATAAAACAGAAGTTTATTATGCACAAGAAATAAAAATAAAACAAAACAAAAAAAACAAATGTAATGCAGAATGAAAGATTTCAAACCACACAGCAAACCAAAATCCCAACTATTCTCCAATACCAACACATTACAGTTAATCAAATACCAGAGACATTTTCCTTCCCTGTTCAATCTGTAGTTTTGACTGGACAAATTCTCAATTCCTGTCTTGTGAGCTGTGAAATCTTTCTCTTGAATACTCACATAACTGAGAACTTAGACTGTCTCAGTACTTTAATAATCTGCAGAGTTCTAACCAAGCATTTCTGAGCTGTAAATTTCACAGATTACACACTTCCACTGAGGTAACTAATTCCTTAACTGATCTGAACAAGCTCCTTTTCTCAGACTAACAATTCTTGCCTCTAACCCCAGTCAATTCTTCCTCAAACTGAACTCAAAAGCTTTTGAACTAAATTAAGATGGAAATTTGCTCAACATAGATTCTGCTAGAGATAATGGCTTATTGTTTTCTCTCTCCTATCAGTATCAACAAACTTCCATTAACTCTCCAGTCATCTTTGCAGTCACCTGCTCTCTGCAAATTTAAAATCATGGTTCCAGACAGACTAACTTAGTTAAGTTTTAAAGCCTTTACAAAAATAAACCAACACTCACATAATTGATTATAAATGCAAACTCTAAAAAATTATATAAATATATACAAATCATACAGCTCTCATCACAGAAAGATATACACTTCTCAAAACTAATGCAATTTTGAACATAATTTCCACCTGGATCACGGTTATGCCCAAAACATGACTATGTGAATGATTTGCTTTCTTCAGTAAATCTAATATTAAAGGTAAAAGGTAAAGTCACCATGGTTCCAAGCTCTTATTAAAGACTACTGGTAGTCGTTTAACCTGAGGGTCACCATTCCTCAGGTGAGGGGCAAGGTTACAAAGGAGAGCCTTTCATGGTAACCTCAGCTGGTACGGGAATTGAACCCATGCTGTTAGTGTCACTTTGCATCGCAAACCACTTGTCCACCCAACCGAGCTAACCAAACTCCAAATCTGATACTGATTGTTTGTTTTCTGAATGTGACAAAATAGAACAGGAGCTAAAGAAGACAGTGAAACAATAGCATACACAAAATATAAAAGGCAGAGGTTGCTAAAAATAGCCATTGTCTCACAGCTCCTGCAAGGTCCATTGTTCATACAAGACTGACAACAGCAACAGCAGATGGAAGGAACCTGTGTGTGACTGTAAAGAAGAGCAAAGCAGCACATACCTCCATCTTGGGAATTCAGCACACTTAAAGCATACACCATTGCATTGGAAAAGGTTGTGGCTTCTTCCTTGCTTGCAAAATTTAACCCGTAGACCTGCCGAGCATCTCGCCATTGGTGGAACGTAGGTGTAGCCTGATTGTACTTCAGTCCTTTCACGATGGAGTAGTTTATGACTACCTATAAGCAAAATGCAAATCAAATCAAGAGAAAACATTTCTGAACATAATGCATTGTTAGTCTATTCTCCAAAATTGAAAACATATGTTAAATGAACAAGTCCTTTCAAAGTAATATTGGCAGCTGAAGTGTATTAAAAGATGAATGATGTATACTTGTCATAAGATATGTGGGTATTTTTACTACAAATAAATTAACAAATACTCAGAGGAATGTATTAGAAAGTGGAATTGATACAATCCTGGAAGCTAAGGTGAGGCCACTTCACTTCCTAATACTTTTGACATTATGCCAAGCTACTTCAAACACATCATAAACTATTTTAAAAGTTATTCTAAATTAAATGCTTGGAAAAGACATCGTATTAAAATGTTTTCAGCAAAGATCCAATGTTATATAAGTAATGTTGTGGGTTATCAAAGTTCCAAGATCATCTAGCTGCTCGTGAAACCAAGCAAAATTTTAATTTCCATGACCCAGTAATACTTTCAGAGTTACTCTATGCTAAATTCATCCCTTATTTCAGTTACAGGCCAAAACATTTGCTATTAAAAGAAAATGATCTATCAACAGAATTTAAAGCTCAAATATGAATAAATCATAGAGATGAACTTCCACCAGCTCCAATGAAAAGAGAAAATTGTGTACCAGTGGCTTTGGAAATAAAGCACCACATTGTTTAATATAAACTCCTGCTTGATAGTCTGCCAACGTGACAGTCAAACTTCTGCATTTTTTTTGGTCTGGCCTGTTCTTGCTCTGAGCAACAATATTCAGTTCAGAAAAGTATGATCCCATGAACAGTATTTATAGTATTATAACTGGAGAGGGCCAGTAATCAAAGGGTTAATTATCAAATAATCAAATGTCGAAATGTTGCTATCTTCATAATTCCTCAATTGGCCATTTTTGGTCTTAAATTCTGCTTTTTGGTTTGTTATTAATTGAATAAATGTTATAATGACATTGGGGTCAGTAAAAAAAATCATAGGTGTGCAATTTATTACACCATAGGCATGTGTTTGAAATCTGCACCTTTAAACAGTTGACTCTGCATAGACCTCAGGCAAAGCAAAATGAACTTTAGCACATGCACAAAAAGAACCTCTTTCATTGGTGTCATACATGACAGTCACATTCTAAATTTTGTAAGGAGTCTCTCAAAATGGCTAAATTTAGTAATGGTCACAATTTTGTCTTTTTACTGTGAAAACGTTCAATGAAAAGCTATTCCCCAGATGGCTGTGAATGAGGTAAAAATGTAATTTTTAAAAGAAAGCTAACGACCATGTGCTTTTGGCTGGAATACTTAAAAAATATAACTCATAGGAGTTTCTTGACATTGAAAGCCTGAAAATAATTTTGAGTCCTTTCAGAAATAACAAAACAAAGTGCACAACTTTACAATAGATGCCAAGGGCTTGAATTTCAATCTGGGATCGGAACTCTATTATTCGGATAACTTCTGGATGCTGATCCTGTGCCATGTTTGCATCATTTGAATGATGGCATCTTCAAATGTGTTTGCTCTAATTAGACCACCAGCAAGCGTGGTGCTTAATTAAAAGCATCAGGTGCTGCCAGCAGGCAGGGATTGACTCCTAAGTACAATTTTTGCAGGCAGAAAACAGTCACAATGGTGCCTGTCACTGCCTTAAAGAATTGAGCAGGTCGAACTCAAATGGCTAGCCTCATGGAGTAAAGAATTGGCCAAACAGTGAATGAAAAGGTATTACATCTGATGCAATAAACATAATTGTGAAAAAGATTTATTCAGCTAAAAAAAAGTTACTTAGTGTCTTTCATCATTGCAACTGAGAGCATTTGAACTAATGTGTGGCAGGCTGTGGGGTTTGATAATCTGCAGCTTGAAAATCATTGTCCAGTTTTCATTGTCCATTCTCAAAGAGCTCATCAAGGACCATAATGGGCAGTTGATAGAGGTGAATGAGTTTCTGGTTCCCCTGCTTTCACTTTTAAAATAGCAATGTGTCCCAGAAGCATCAGGACATCAATGCAGCATCTAAGAACATGTTGTAAGTTATGGGATGGACAAAATTGACAACAAAATGGAGACGAGACCACAACCAGATCAACTATGATCTTATTAAATTGTGGAGCACATTTGAAAAGCTAAATACCCTTCTCCTCCTCTGAAGTCTGATGTTCCTCAGAGAACCATACTTCCAATATGTGCATGCAGCCATTCTTGCCCCCACAGGGAAGTATGTATCAAAAGCTACAAGGCATGTCTACAGCATCAACTAGGAAGGATCAATTAGGAATGATTCCCAAGAAAAAGGTCAGGGCATTGGATTTAGCATTTAGATGACAGCTATAGACTAATAAAAAGACAATAAGATGGTATTCTGAAAGGATGAAATTAAATTGGCCAGAGGGGCTTCTTCCTTTAAAATTATCTATGACTTCATTACCTTCTCTGACCCATTCCTGATCTTTCTTTCACACTGGATGATGCTTACAAGAGAAGTTAAGGATACTATTAGATTAGAAGAGGCTTATAATATTACATGAGCTGCAGAAAGGTGATTAGAAGTTGATAAAAAGGAGAAATAAAAAACTGCAGTAAATTAGCCAGGAACACAAAAGCAGATAAGAACTTTTATAGGCAAGTAAAATGTAGGATACTAAAGTTAACATTCCCTTAGATGAGAGGAAATAATTTATCATGGGGTGCAAAGAAATGCCCTGAGCCAATTAACAAATATTATAAGCTATGCTTGTCTTCACAGTAGAAGACATGAGTTACGTGGTTAAAAGGTAACCGGGTTGGGGGTGGCTAATGTGAGGAACGTTAAATAACTATTATCAACAGAGAAAACGTATCGAGAATCTTAATAGACAAAAAGCGAACAAAGCCCTCGGACCTGATGAACTGTTTCCCAGCACACTAAAAGAGGTAGCTGCTAAGGTATTGGATGCATTGCTTGTGAGTTTTCACAATTCCCAAGATGCCAGAGCAGATCAGGCAGATTGGAAGTTAGCAGATGTAACAACACAATTCAGGGAAGATGGGTGGGAAGACATAAAGAACCACAGGCCAATGAGCCTTGCATCAGTTGTCAGAAAAATGCTGGTGTCTGTTGCTAAGGAATTCTTAACAGTGCATTTAGAAAATCATAGCTTGATCAGACAAAGTCAACATACATTTATGGAAGAGAAATTGCGTTTGACAAATTCATTAGAGATGTTTATTAAGAATGTATCTCATAGGATAAGCAAAGTCGAACCAGTTGATGTAGAATACTAGCAATTTCAAAAGACATTCGATAAAGTGACATACCAAGGCTTGGGCATAGTAAGGGCTAATAGAGTTGGGGTGATTATTAGCATGGACAGAGGACTGATTAATGGAGGAAACAAGGGGTTGGGATATGTGGAACATTTTCCAATTGGCAGGTTGTAGCTAGTGGATTGCTGCAAAGATCAGTGTTAGATCTCAATCAGGGCCCTGAGACCAACCAGGATAGGGCATACACATCCAGAAAACAATCTATAATAATGACGGAGACAAAAAGAATCCAATTTTACTGATGATACAAAGCTTGGTGGGACTGTAGGTTGTGAGGAGAAAACAAAAAGGCTGCCAAAACATATAGATAATGTGTGTGGGCAATGAGGTAGCAAATGAAGTACAATGTGGGCAAGTGTGAGGTTACTCCATTTGATGGTAACAATAGAAAAGCAGATTTATTTTTTAAAGTGTTGTAGAACATGTTGCTATTCAGAGAGATTTGGGTGTTCACTATACAAGGAATGTAGAAACTTAATGTGCATATTCAGCAAACAATTAAAGCAGCGTACGGTATTTTGGCCTTTATTACAAGGAGTATTACAGTCTTACAATAATTGTACATAACATTGGTGAAAACTGCAGTTTTAATCTCCACAGAATAGGAAGGGTTTAGAGGGATCAAGGCCAAATGCTGGCAAATGGGACTAGATTAATTTAGGACATTTTATTTGTAACTCAAACCTTCGATACCTGGCAACATCCTGGTAAATCTCTTCTAAACCCTCTCCAGCTTAATAATATCCTACCTATAACTGGGCAACCAGAACTGGACACGGAATTCCAGAAGAGGCCTCACCAATGTCCTGTGCAACCTCAACTTGGATAATTTAGGATTAACTGGGGAAGTGGGCTGGGAAATGGCAAATGGAGTTTAATATAGATAAATGTTAGGTGTTGCATTTCAGAAAGTCAAATCAAGGTAGGATTTTCATGGTGAATGGAAGGGCCTTATGGAGTGTAGTGGAATAGAGGGACCTTGGAGTTCAGTTGCACAGTTCTCTGAAAGTGGAGTCACAGGTAGACAGGGCAGTGAAGAAGGCTTTTGGCACACTGGCCTTCATCAGTCAAGACACTGAGATATAGCAGTTGGGAAGTTATGTTGCAGTTGTACAGGACATTGGTGAGGCTGCACTGGGAGTGTTGTGTTCAGTTTTGGTCACCTTGCTATAGGAAGGATGTTATTAAATGGAAAGAGTGCAGAAGCAATTTACAAGGCTGTTACCAGGACTCAAGGAACTGAGTTGTAGGGACAGGTTGGACAAGCTAGGACTTTTTTCTTTAGAGCATAGGAGACTGAGGATAGATCTTATAGAAGCGTATAAGATCATGAGAGGCATGGATAGGATGAATGCACTCAGTCTTTTTCCCAGGGTTGGGGAATCAAGGACTAGAGGGCATCAGTTTAAGGTAAGAGGGGAAAGAATACATGGGGGCCTAAGGGGCAACTTTTTTTACACAGAGGGTGGTACACATATGGAATGAGCTATCAGTGGATATGATTGAGGTGGGTACATTAACAACATTTAAAAGGCATTTGGATGAATACATTGATGTGAGAGGTTTAGAAGGATATGGGCCAAGTTCAGGGAAATGGGGTTAGCGTGGATAGACATTTTGGTTGGCATGTGCCAGTCTGAGCCAAAGGACCTGCCTCCATGCTGTTAAGACTCTCTGACTCTATGGT